TTTGACCGACAGTACCCCCATGGATTGGACCCACCCCATCCATAGGGGGCCGAGTAACCGTTGCTACCCTTACCACCCATTGTTCTTGAATTGCTCCTGATCCTGGTCGTCCTCCTCCTGATCCTCTTAAATCTTCCACCGGCGAAGTCGAGTCCTCTCCCCGAAGAAATTATATTCACGAGGCCTGCACGATGTGAGAACAGAGGAATACGACTCGGGAAACCGTCGATGATCCGTCGACGGGGAGAGGGGAGGAGGAGGGGGAGGAGGGAGTGAGAGATAGAGGAGCTTACCTGCTTTCCACTGGGCCATTCGCATATCCATGAGGACGCTGTGAGGGTATGTGAGGAGGAAGCAACAAAATCAACGAGGACGAGGACGAGGACGAGGACGAGGACGAGGACGAGGACAAGGACGAGGATGAGGACGAGGACGAGGACGAGGACGAGGACGAGGATGCGATCTTGGTTGCAGGAGCACTCACCTGTTCTGAGGAGAGATCTGTTGCTGTAGGGTAGGAGAGAGCGGGAAGAAAGGAGGAATCTGCGACTGAAGGAGAGCCTGCTCAACCGACTGAGCGAGAGAAGCGAGCGAGAGAGGAGCGGAGTGATGCGATCAATCACAACACCAGGCAGGAGGAGGACAATCGAAGCAAGACAAGTAGAAGAGCAGAAAGGTGGAGGGGAGGAGAAGAAGAAACAGCACAGGAGGAAGAGATAAGTAACGGGAACCTCAAGCTTGCCGCAGTCAGGGCTCTCCTCCTCCTCCTCCTCCTCCTCCTTCTCCTCTTGTGCATCGACCGAAATCTCGAACCCCTCCAACTTCATCAGACGAGCAACTTCTTCCCATTCTGCTCCCCTGCCCAGCCGTTACTACAGCAGCAGCAGCAGCAGCACCAGCACCAGCACCAGCAGCAGCAGCAGCAGCACCAGCAGCAGCAGCAGCAGCAGCAGCACCAGCAGCACCAGCAGCACCAGCAGCACCAGCAGCACCAGCACCAGCACCAGCAGCAGCAGCAGCAGCAGCAGCACCAGCAGCAGCAGCAGCAGCAGCAGCAGCACCAGCAGCACCAGCACCAGCAGCACCAGCAGCACCAGCAGCAGCAGCAGCAGCAGCAGCAGCAGCAGCAGCAGCACAGCAGCAGCAGCAGCAGCACCAGCAGCAGCAGCAGCAGCAGCAGCAGCAGCAGCAGTTCGTACTCGTCGACTGCTTCTGCCGCCTCGTCTCGATCGGTGAGCATGCAAAGAAGAGCAGAGGGCTCCTGCAGGAACAAGTTGACTTCCTCCCTCCTCCTCCTCCTCCTCCTCCTCCTCCTCCTCCTCCTCTTTAACCTCGTACAACGCTGAGATGTTGGCCAGTACTTCACTTTCCAGCTCCTCAAACTCCTGGAGTGCTGCGTGAGGACGGCGAAGAATAAGGAGAAGGGGAAGGGAGCAGAGAGCGGAGCAAGAGGGAGGAGCCAGAGGGAGGGGGCAACAGGCACCAGAACGCCGGGAACAGGAGAGGAGGAGGAAAGAAACAAGAATGATCAGAAAGATAAGCGAAGAGAGAGGAGTGCAACGGGAGGAGATGAGAGGATGAGAGGATGGGAGGATGCGAGGATGGGAGGAGAGACTTTAAGCTCAAGCTCGTCGAGCTTCCTCTTGTTTTTCTGATCCTCCTGCAACTTCACTTGCAAGCTTCCAAGTCGCTGCACGTCAAAGAGCACCTGAGAATGTGTGAGGGGAAGAGGAGGAGGGGAGGACAAGAGAGGAGGGGAGGACAAGAGAGGAGGGGAGGACAAGAGAGGAGGGGAGGGGACAGGAAGGAGAGGAGGCAGGCAGGGGAGGTGAAAGAGGACCAACTTTTGTCCTGAAGGTCTTCCAGATCATCTCGTCTAGTTTGTATGCAGCTTTGTCTTCCTACGCGGCATGTCAACTAGAGGAGCAGAAGAGCAGACGAACAGGTTTCGGGTTGAGGAGGAGGAGATTCTGAGAGAGATGCGAGAACCTGAGTAGAAATTAGAGAGAGAAGTAAGGAGGAAGAGGAGGAAGAAGAGGAGTGGGTGAAAAGAAGGAGGAGGAAGCGGACGAGATAGAAGGAGAAAGGAGAGAGAGGAGAGGAGGGGAGGAAGGGGAGGAGTAAAGGAGAGGAGAGGAGGGAGAGAGGTAAGAAGAGAAGGAGGGAGAGGAGGAGAGAAAGGGAGAAGAGAAAGAGAGGAGGAGAGGGAGAAGGGAGAGGATAAGAGGGAGAGGGGGGGGAGAGAGGAGGGAGAGGAGAAGGCGAGGTTTCACATCTTTAAGGCTCTCCAGTCATCGTCGAGCACATGAGTAAATCGATTCATCCGGCCCACCAGACTTCTTCTCTCCTCCTCGCTTGTGCCAACATTAGACAAACTTCTCGTACCTTCCCTTCTCCCCCTCATCTTGATCCTTCCTCCTCCTCCTCCTCCTCCTCCTCCTCCTCCTCCTCTCCCTCTCCCTCTCCCTCTCCCTCTCCCTCTCCCTCTTCCTCTTCCTCTTCCTCTTCCTCTGCTCTGCCTCTTCCTCTCCCTCTCCCTCTCCCTCTCCCTCTCCCTCTCCCTCTCCCTCTCCCTCTTCCTCTTCCTCTTCCTCTTCCTCTTCCTCTTCCTCTTCCTCTTCCTCTTCCTCTTCCTCTCTCGCAGTCTCTCAAGCATTGTTTCTCCTCACTTTCGCACGAAGAACAGGTTCTTGTCCTCGACTGCCTTTCCTTCTCCAACCAAGTCCGCAGACCTGCTCATGCCCTCATCACCTGGCGAGAACCCAACGAAGACAAGGAGACGGGGACAGGAAAGACTGACAGAGGAGCAGAGAAGAAGGAGGGAGAGAGGAAGAGGAAGGAGCGGAAGGGGGAAGGAGGGCACAAGGAAGAAGGAGGAGAGCACGAGAAGGGAGGATGAGAGGGAGGAGGTTGTTTTCCTCAGCATTGCACTGATAAAAGCCGCAAGATCCTCGTCGGCCTGACAGACGAGCGAGACACGGAAGCCATTGCGAGAAAGAGCCTGAGGAAGCGCGTCAGACAGACAGGGGAAGGAGAAGACAAGAAGATGACGAGGGGAAGGAGGAGAGCGATATGAAGAGGACGAGGGGAAGGAGGAAGAGGAGAAAGAGGAGGAGGAGAAAGAGGAGGAGAAAGAGGAGGAGAAAGAGGAGGAGGAGAACGCAAATTCACCTTGAGGAACTTTCTGGCTCCAGGAAGAAACTGGAGTGATAGAGAGGTCTCATGCTGAAACGAAACCAGTCACGAACATCACCAACACGATCTACATCGTCATGTGAAACTGATCGTGATCAATAGAAGCAGCAGCAGCAGCAATATCAACATCGTCATCAACAACAACGCAACACCAGCAGCATTAACAGCAGCAGCAACAGCAACATCAATAACAACAGCAGCCGAAGCAGCAGCAGCAGCAGCAGCAGCAGCAGCAGCAGCAGCAGCAGCAGCAGCAGCAGCAGCAGCAGCAGCAGCAGCAGCAGCAGCAGCAGCAGCAGCAGCAGCACCAGCAGCACCAGCAGCAGCACCAGCAGCAGCAGCAGCAGCAGCAGCAGCAGCAGCAGCAGCAGCAGCAGCAGCAGCAGCAGCAGCAGCAGCAGCAGCAGCAACCTGCGAGTAAGCAAGTCCGATAAACTTCTCCCATTCTTTGCTGCTCATCCATCTTGCAAGATCAAGTCGTTCTGCCATGTAGCTCATACCGATCGCTCAATCTCTCAAAACTTACTCGCAACTTCCATGTGATTTCTCGTGATGATCAGCTCGTTCACTGTCTTCCTCCATGTTTCCTCCTTCTCCTTCTCCCCTCCCTCCATCTTGTTCCACTCCTCTTCCATCCTACTCTTCTCCTTGTCCTTCTCCTCCTTCTCCTCCTCCTTCTCCTCCTCGTTCTCCTCCTCCTCCTCCTCCTCCTCCTCCTTCTCCTCCTTCGCCTCCTTCGCCTCCTCCTCCTCCTCCTTCGCCTCCTCCTTCTCCTCCTCCTTCTCCTCCTGCTCTCCTCTACCTTCCTCCTGACCATCCACCAGTCTTTGGTCTTCAAGTCAGCATAAACTACAGCAGACAAGACCATCAACTTGCCTCTCACGTTGGGGCTCAACGAGCTGCTCTATGTCCTCCAACTTGTGAACGTTTTCACCTCTACAACGACAGTCGTCAGCTGGTTGGACGTGTCATTCAAAGCAAACAAAGGCAGCACCGAGAAACAACTGCATCTTCTTGATTGTACGACTGAGTCATCCTAAGAACGCTGGAAACAACACCAGACAGTCATATAGAGAGAGCGACTGCATACCACACTCACCTCTCAAGTGGGTCTTGTGAATCTTCTGGAGAAGGTTCCTCCTCTCCCTGCATCTGCACAGCAGCAGCATTGAGACGATCAGCATCATCGGGAAAAATCTCTCTCATCGCCGTCGGGACTACATCCCCGAAATCTACGAGGCTATCATCTTGTTTTCAAGCAAGAGTCACAAAAACCTTCTGATCGCTTCTCGGTGTACATCGGGTTGAACCACAACACAAGAAGAATCCTCGGCTCTCTGCAATGAACTCACCATCACGTCACAGCACTGAAACATCACCTTTCCACCATCTCATTGCTGGCCAACGTCAGCCATTGCTCAACTGGTCGATTCGCTTCGTCGCACAGCCTTTGCAGGGGGATGACAACCTGCGTTCGAATCGAGTTGAGCAGGCAGATGAAGCGGTTGAACATCTCTCACGTCAGCCAGAGGAGAATCTTGAAATATCTCCTTGTTGAAGACTTCAACCTTCAGCTCCTGAAGACACTATGATATGCCGACACCTTGATAGGTCACAAGAACTCACATGCTGAACTTCGCCGGCGATGATGGGAGGGATGTTCTCAAAGCAACATGTCTGATAGAAGAGAGGGTTGGTTGCAGATCGAGAGAACGGCCTCATCTTCTCCTGCGTGATGACAGACGTGTCGATGCTCCTCCTCTCCATCCTGTCGTCTTGGTGCAAGTCCAGGCTGACCCTGACGAACGGACTGATGCTCTCCACGTTCCAGAAGTTCGCGAAGCCATGGGGGACGGGAAGATTGCTTGCTTCGATCACACTGACGTGCAGGCAAGCAAGCGAAGGAGGTCGACCCATGTCGCAGACGACTCTGACCAGTCGTTGAGCTCGCAGGTTCATCAGCACATGCTTCGGATACTTGAACTCCTTCTTGTGCTCACGCTTATGACTGACCGCCTTGTCTATGTCATCGGAAGAAGTTAGAACATTCATCTTGTAGTTCTTGCTCGTCAGCTCTTTCTCTAATGCCTTGTCTCCCTCAAAGAGAAATCCTCCTAGCATCGGGGGTGTACCGCTTGTCTTCCAGGTGTCAAGCTTTCTGAGGAGGTGTATCAGCGGAGAGGACATGATGAATAGACACTCAACCTGCTCTGCCAGATGTCCAGGACCTCCTGCTCAGAGATGGAGAACTTGTTAGCCAGCTCTGCGCATATTCCCTTGGAGTCAATCGAATCCACTTGGTTGGGGTTGTAGAATGCAATGAGATCTTTCTCTTTCGGGGTCAAAACGCGCTGCATCTCCTGTCTGCTTGGTTCTTCCATGGCAAGAAGAGCTTCAGTCACCATCTTCACTCGCCGTTCCTCCTTCTCCTGCTGTATCCGCGACAGCTGCTCTTGGTTGTGCGATGACAACCTTTCCCTAGTCTCTCTCCTCAGCGGAAAAGCAGCAGCAGAAGAGACGTGCATGACGTTCATCGCCCGTCCCTGGCAGGCCTCGTATCCTCTCTCAGCCCTCCTGCTCTGAGCATATTCTTCGGCGTTGACTGACGGGAACTCAGCTTCAAGTGAGCATGGTAGAGCCGTCAGCTGGTTGGAGTGCGGCAGAGAGACAGCTTTGGAGACATGGCGGGTGACAGCAAACACGTGCGCAGCGCGCTGAGCATGAGGAGGAGCCTTGGTCGGCTCGTCCTGCATGCTCGACAAGCGCATCGCCGCCATGGCATGCTCATACGCTCCCTCCATCCTCCGCCCTGTCGACCTTTCCATCAAATGTGACTGGGGGGTAACCACCATAGCCGGTTGACCAGAATTTGCGGTCGAGTCCGCGGCAGTCGGCAGAGCCGGCGGCTGCCGAGCTAGTCCAGGAGCTAGTCCAGTAGCTGGTCCAGGAGCTGGTCCAGGAGCTGGTCCAGGAGCTAGTCCAGGAGCTAGTCTGGAGCTAGTTGTCTCTTACAGGCAGATGCTTGCATTTCAGATCTTAGCCTGCTGTCTATCTCCCATGTGCCCCTCAACCCTTGTTCCTCGTGCATCAAACTCGGTACTCAGCTAAGCCTGTCTTGCCACAAGGTCAACTCATCTCTGCATAATTTTGTCAAACCACAAGTCCACCAAACAACTTTGACATGTGCTCCGTCAAAACGCTGGCAAGGTTCGCTCACAGTGCTACAACCGTGACGACGGGAGGAGAGGGAGAGGTTCTTGTGTTCGGAGGCGTCAACTTCTCGTCCGACCTCAACGACGTGGTCGCCATCACGAGCTCTGTCGCAAAGGAGTAGGCAAGCAGTGATGGCAGGAGGTTTCATTACACGATCACGTCAAAACTGCTATCGCTGTACACTACAGTTAACAAGAGAGGCGACCAGACGTCTAGCCCGGGTCGTCCTCCCGTCCTTAGCCTTGCTTCATCATCGACACTCGCTTGGCGACCTCAAAGTGCCGCTTGCTCCCTGACTTGCACATGAGCGACATCATCCCCAACGGCATGAAGCCTGCTCCCGCGAAGGCCCCTGCCGCCTCCTTCATCCGCTCCTCCTCGTCCGAGTCGGACTGCGAGGTCTCTGACTCCGAGGAGGACTCCGAGGAGGAGACGCCTATCCTCCCCGCAGGCCGGGAGGAGTAGAAGCGAGGCTTGGCGATGGTCCGCTTGGGGCTGAGGGTCCCGGACGACCTGGTCCTGAGGAGTCGACGGTGGACGCGACGTCCCCGATGAGCGGAGGGGATGGGCTTGCGTGGCTGCACAGGGCAGGAGCTCGCGTCCTCGTCCTCAGAGACGTCGGACATAGGGGAGTCCTGGTCGCTGGAGGAGGCATCATAGGGGATGTGAGGCTGAGCGGAGAGGAGCTTGAGGGAGGAGAACTGGAGGGCGATGGCGTGATGGGAAGGGGAGTTGTCAGGAAGAGAGAGCTCGCTATGATCGGCAGAGGGAGTCATGTTCATCGGTTGAGGACTCATGGCGCGTGGGAGAGGAGGAGGCAGTTTAGTGGGGGAGTGACAGAGAGTGGGGGATTTAAATCGCGTTGGGGGGACGAAGGGAGGAGATATGGCAAGCGGGGCAATCAACTACCCTTACATACCCCTGCACTGTATGACCCTACCCCATATTTGACGATGTTTTGTGACTAGAAGGACCCCGTACTTGCTGATCCGCACGAGACGCCACCCTTGTTAGCTGGCTCCTTTGGGCAAGCGATGCTGTTTTACTTCAATCACGGATACAGTTATCCGTCGTCACGGGAAAAGATGTAAAACCACGTCATTTCATAACTGCGATTGTCAGTAGTAAAACCGTCGGGATGGCGAGAGAGGGGCAAACAAGGGGCATTGGAGGGGTACTGGGTACGTGATTTTGAAGTAGAGGGACGTGATTTGCAGTAGAGGGATTCTATCAACGTCTCGAAGAGCTGCAACTTTATATCCTTTGGTTCTATTTTGGCCAGCTAAATCTGTCATCATTACTAAAAGACCTATGTTCGATTTCAGGTTGATTTCGCATCGTTTCGAACCGTTGCTCTTCTAGCCACCCCCCACCCCTCCTTGCAACCCATTGAACCACCCCTTCTCATCCATCAACGCTTCTCTTTTCCCCCTTTGGCCATCTGCACCGCCTCCCCCTTGTCCGCCTTTTGAACTCGCACCCTCCACACACTCTGTGAAGTACACGTACCCTCCTCCTCCTCCTCCTCCTCCTCCTCTTCGTTCTCCTCGTCGTCGTCCACCACCACCACGACTCCTCCTCAACTCCCGAATTTCACTCCTCTCGAAGAGTTCTACATAGATCAGATGAGGTAAGACAGGGCTTGCCCGACTTGTCCTGAGGGAACCTGATGATGACTCCTTGATGGCTGTGTCTGTGACTAATCGGTGATGACTTTAATCTTTGGCCGATCATCTA